ATACTAATAGCTTGCTAGTCACGTGATTATAAATAAATATAATTGGCTAGATTATATTTATTATATATCTACTTAGTCACACAAAGCTTGATCTAAGCTAATCAAATTGATTTATATTATCTGACAAATCTAATATCTTATAGACATTTGATTATTTGAGTATTAGTTATCAGAAATAGCAGATTATCGAGTTTGAATTATAGAACAGACATGGTGAACCAATTTTTTATCAAGTATAACAAGTTATTAGTTTTGACAAGATTGGTTTTGGGAGGATAGACTGTATTAAAATTATAATTTAATAAATATATTAAATATTTTTAATAAGAAAGCTATTTTATAAAACAAAATAAAATAAACTTACTTGATTAAAATCAAATCTGGCTAACTTTTCACAATTTGTTATATATTTAGCAGCTCTTTGTTTATTTTGTTTATAAATTTCTTTAATATTTAATACTTGTTGATTAGACCTTTTATTTTCAAATATACTAATATTATAATAATTCTCTTTAGAAAAATTCATAATTTCTAAAAATTCACAAACTTTAGCCATTATTGTTCTATAATCTTTATTGTTATATAATACTGCAAGCCTATGTTGTGTCTTATATAACTTCTAAAAATTTATTTTTTATTAAGATAAACTAACTTAATTAGTAATTCGCTACTCAACCAGAGAAAGCTTATAGTATAATGTAATATAATTTATATATAAAAATTAGAGTTTTTAGAATATAAGCTGCTTTTATTTAAAACTTTTTTTTGTATTAAGTTAATTATTTTTGGGCCTCTAATTGAAGTTGTAGAGCTCATTAAAACAAATCTAATAGTAGTTAAATCATCAAAATCAGCTTGATAGATCACAAAATATCTTTAAAAAACTTTTTTTTCACTATTAGCAGCCTTACCAGTATCTTTATTAGATCAAAGCATATATATACATATATTAACTATCTAAGCTATAGATCTAACATCTCTTGACTACCCTAGGGTGCTCAAGAGCAGTCTGCTATATCAAATAAAACTTATACTCACATCAGAGGCTGCATCAAGCTAGCCTGCAAAACTTTACCAGAATAGTTTTGCTTTATTTACAATATAATTTTTAATTGATTCAAACCAAGTTGCTTTTTTTTGGTTTTTTTTTCTACCTCTTTTTCTTTTTCTTCTTTTTTTTTTACTTTTCTCTTGGTTTAATTTTGTCCGTCAAGAAACTCCTCTGTAGTCTTGCATGGCTGCTTTGCGTTAATATCGGAATCTTCTATTTTTAATTTCTATCTTCTTTT